CCTTCATGTCTGAGAAATTATACGAAAACTGTCTTTCATTTCCACAAAAAAAAACGAAATGACTTTCCGAACAACCCTATAGAATTGGTCCAGAACAACACACTAAACACTGTCTAGGAATTGCGTATCTTGAAACTTTCCTGGAAAATTTGCAGGACCTCGAACGCTGTAAAATTCCCCACGATGTGTTTTTTGACATATTTTAATCAATATTTCAAAAAGTCTCCTAGAAGAAAATTGTTCTGGAGATGTTTTTTTCTTGTTAAATTCTTCTAAATGATAACTTTGCTTCAATTGCAAAAAAACATACCTGCACCACAACGCGCTGCAGCAAGTAAAGAAAATGCTAGATATTTGTTTTCAATGAATATATAACATAAAGTAATCCAAATAATAACTAATACCAGAAGTTTGATCAAGATCAGTTGTACACTTTTTACGTAATCCATTTTATAACTTTAACGATACCTACTCACATTGTGACAATTCTTTTACGTAATCTCCATGAGCCATATAACAAAATCAATGATGTCTCCAAACCAAATAGTCTTAAATTAAAAGTGCGTAAAAATTGACGACCTAATTTTCAAATTGCTTAGGTTTAGGTCCACACACATCTTCTACGGAAGTTGAAAGCCTGATGTGATTAGCAATCGAAAGAAGAATACCAATGAACAAGTGAAAGTACCCAATATTAAAAGACGTAAGTTGTAATCTAGCCAGCCGCGGTAACAAACTAACACCGCGGAAGAGGTGAAAGTTATTTCGCACTAATATTTCGGCTGCAGGCAACTAAAGTTGGTATTTCATCTCCGTTCTGTTCCGGTATGTATTAAATTATTCCTTTACTCCACTGTTAAATCACATGTGAGTATAAAATTCCAATAATATACGGATATAAGAAATTTGCAAGATACGTGACCACATGTTCCCATTAGGTATAGGTATCTATACCCATGACACTATAACCAGTAGTTTTCCTTTTTCTTTCTTCAAGCTACTGTTCTTCTTCGTCTTGCACAGTTTCTAGATAGCACAGCGGCAGGTATTTGATATGAATCTTTTACTATCATAAGGTCGGTGGAATAGAGTAAAAGCCAAACTGGTCGTTTTTGTTTATAAAAGTGGGGAAATGTTGTGACTCGTTATACAATCCACTTTCATTGCTCCATAAACTGTTGTGATTCTTAGTGCCCACGACCCCTAATGCTGAACTTGTTCGATTGTTATTATTTTTGTGAAACGAATTGTTAGACGCCATGAATTTTGCAGTTTTTGTTTACTTCCTCTGGTCTATTATCACTTTGAATATTTTCAGTATTGTCACTTCTCAGTCAGATAATCTAGGTAAGTCTGTTTTTATTTTTATTGTCCTTTTAATCCTTCCTTATTATGAAAATATTTAACGATATCTCACATTGTTAAAAGCATAAAATTCGAATTAAATAAAGTTAAATAATAAATGGGGTGATTATAATTAACAATGACATTTTTTTAAAGATCATATTATTAATAAATTTTTATAATGATAAATACTTTACTAATAAATAAGACAATATCAGTATCAAAACACTTAACGTCCAAAATACCAATTCTTCACACATTTATCACAATTTCTATCTTAATGACAATAAAAGACCCATATTTATTTGTTGATAATCTTAACAATGACTTTTTTATTATTTAATTCATATCGTTAGATACCTGTAGTAAATTTAAACCCTGAACAACCAGTCATTTCACCCTTAAAATAACAAGATTTATTTCTTGGACTTTTTTGTAACTTTTTGTTTATCTTATTATGCCCTTGACATTAGAAAATAATTAATTTTGTTATAATNTGTTTAAATAATTAAATTTTATTAATTTTGAACTATCGTGTAAATCTCTAAAAGGTATATATTTCGGTAAAATTTTTATTTCATAAGATTTTGCTTAAGAAAGCAGGAAAGTAAAGTGGCTGCTGTGCTATTGGCCTTGTTCTGAAAACGAAATTCTGAATTCCATGTAGTCTTTTCTAACGGTTACATAATAAACGAACTGACCGAAGTATTCTTTACATCACGCTTTAATATTCTGTGGCTCGATTATTTGAAAAAAATATAAATAATTTAATTTAAAAAAATGCCTACTAGACATCATTGTAACCTATGTCTAGTTTAGTTTAAGATTGAAACTTTTGATTCATCTGTGACTGTTGATGTTTATGTTTAATAATATAATTGTATATCAATGTAACTAGTTTAGCCCATCCAATCAATAAAATAAACAACAACTTCTATGCTTTTGACGACGAAATAAGTTTACAATTATTTAACTGTTTAATAAAGGGGTAGTCTCTAAAGAATTAAACCGATCACCTTTACCGTATTTCACGCAACTTTTATCGATTTTGTAATTTCCGAAATGTGTAACATTCAAAACATTAACAAAGAGCTTCCTCTACAAAAGAAAGTAATTTTAATTCATTCAAATTTTTGTTCAACAACCGCAATTACAGGTGTGGTCATTATTAGATACACTCCTTGATTTGTTTAAAGCACTTATTCTTATGCCTACACAACAAGCAACTTGCTGGTTAAATATTACGTGAACTTTAAGGCATTGTTTACATGTAGAATGAAGGATATGAATTGCAGAGTATTTATTAGCTTTTAATTTACTGTCTTACATTTTATGCGATTAGTAAACAAAGTGAACAAAGTTACAGTTGGAAAACAGTTGTTGTTATCTGTAAAATGTATAATGTGCAGGTAATCCTATAACCATTAATCTCTTCAATGAAAGGTCAGAGCTTTTTGTTTTGAAACCAAGCAATTCTGACAATATTAAAGACATCTTTCTATTTATTTATGTATTTATTTGAACAAACAAAATAAAGCGCATCAATCCCAAAAGGAAAATTGTAAAAGAAGTTTAATCATTTAACAAATTATCTTTCCCAAATTCATGATCAATAAAGGAAAGTCTTCGTATCTTCAAGCTATGAGTAATATTGTACATCACAATTTATAGCTTCTTAGGTGAAGCGGTTTTTGTGATAGACAGGTAACAAAATATATTAAAAAATTATGATTACGATGACCCTTCTTCCTCCTTTTATTTGAAACTTGGAATAGGAACCTTTTGGAACAAATACAATTACTTTCACGCTACGAATAAGTCGCTGGTCAAAACTAGTTATTAATGAAAGTTGAAAGTATTCTAGAAGCAAAACTCATTTCCTAATTAAATTGATGTTTGTAGCAAAATTACTTCAGCTAATTAAGGTTTTGTTGTACCTACATTCTTTGAAAAACAGATTTGTGATGTTATATTTATTTTAATGAATTAACTTGTGGTCTATATAGTAATATGTATAGTATGTATGTCACTTACATACTCCTTGTTACCTAACAGTGTTGTAAGTGTTAAACTGCATTGGCGTTCTAGTTAGCAAGCATAATCAATGAAAGTGTGTACCAACACGTTTTTCACCAAGCACGTTTCATTTTCACAATTTTTGATACTCATAATAATCCTTTATACGCCTTGAATTTCAAACGTCACACTTTAATTTTGTATAAATAATTAATTGTTACACAATACCTACGTACATAGGTCTGGCTTTCAAGCAAAGAAGTATTTTCATGTTGTTACATCTTAAATCCATTTACAAACATAGCCCATTCTGTATGCATTACAAATACCTCTACTTTTGCCCTTAAACCCTCCACTTATTGTACATTAGGTTCTCTAAATATGAGGCTCAATTGAAATACAATTATTCGACATAAGAAGCATCATCACTACTTATCAGTCTAGTAAATTTTGCAAAGAACTCAGTTATGAATTATCTAAAATAACCAATAATCTTAAATTGTTAAAGAGTTAGCAAGATGTATTATTTGTACTGTAATTATTTAGCTGTCTAAAATTAATATAGCTTTCTAATATATAAATATTGAACACATTTGTTCATCATTATCATACGTTCGTCAGTGCTAAGACTCTTCTTATTTCCCCAAAACTAGAACATCCCACATCCTTAACTATTTGTGAACAGTAATCTGATGTAGGTCTATCTCTACTCCTCTTAACTCCTGTTTCTGCTTCTAATATGTCTCTAACTAGCCCTTCATGTCTGAGAAGGTGCTCTACCGAACTATCTCGTCTATTTCTAATTGACTCCCATTGTAACTTCTGTTCTTTTATACTTTGTAATATCTTCCAATCTCTAATCTTCTTTATCCACGGTATCCTCATCATTCTCCTGTAGCACCATATTTAACCTAACCTAACCTTTTTTCTTTTCCGTCGAGCCCACCGTCCATGTTTCGCATCCGTACAGCGCCGCGCTCGAGCCAACAATCAACATCTTTTTCGACTTTCTAAATTAACCTTTCGTGAGTGTAGACGAGACTTGTTTTTGGTCTTTTTGTATTCATTCTTACTTTTTCTTCTTTTGTATACCAGTTGTTTTACCTTACTTTTATTTACTTTCAGACAGTACTGTTTTGTCAATACCGCTTCCATTTTATTTAAGGCTATCTCTAACTCCCTCATCCTAAATGCTAATACTGCTATATCATTTTATAAATCTAAGCATACTAATCTTTAGTCTCTGTGTATTTATCCCTAAAGTTGTTCTGTCTTAAATGATTTTGTTTCGATATATCGATTAAAAAGTAGCGGTGACAGTGTGAATCCTTGACTGACTCCCTTCCTAATATTTACTTCTCTACGGTTCTGCTCAAGCTTTATAACTGCCTGTACAAACTATGTTTCACTCTTCTATCTCTCATCCCTACAGTTTTAAGTATATTTAACAACTTATCCCATTTAACATTGTCAAAAGCTTTTTCTAAATATACGAATCCTATTTACGCGCTTTTTCTTTATTATTACCCGGAAAGCTGAAATGACCTTCCGTTTTCCTCTATTTCTTCAATTGCCACATTTGTTAATAGATATTTATTTAAGCGGTATATTCTAGCCAATAATGCATAGATTATTACTGGTCAGTTATTACTATCCTACGTTGTGCTTACTCTTACTTTTCTGTAAAGCTTTAAGACCTTTAACGGTAAATGTAAGCGCAATATTTCAGTGATTTTCCTATGGTTTCTCCACATTTCTTCTTCTAAAAGTTGTGATAGTTTCTGTTATGGCCGAATAACTGTGTCGGGTTAATGAAAAGATTTTCTTTTTTAACAGGTGATTAATGTTACAAATGTGTTACACCTAGCATAACTTGTAGTTTCCTTTCTCTATTTTCAGTTTGATTCTAATCTGATTACTGTGAACTATTGCATAATCAAATACAAAATCTAATTATGAAATTGCTAATAACGACAATATACCCAGATCATCAAATTATCAATAAAGCTCTGCTTGATTGATTGATTGATTGATTCAATATGTAAATGTTCAATAGACTCCCACAAAATACATACGAATATGTTTGAAACCAGAAATTGATCAAAATCAAATCAGAAACCTCCAGAATGATCATGAAAAATTGCCTTCAGATTTGACTAAAAAAAGAAGTACCTTTTAAAAACAAAAGACAGCTCATTGGTCGACCTTCAAAAAAATGAACTTGACCAAATGCAAAATATATATGCATTATAACTGGCGAATGTTGACTATGGTCGAATTCAACTCTAGGGATGGTGAAATATTTAAATATATACATGCTCATTGGATCTATTCGTACATGTACACATTGTATCTTACATACTAGCATTTCTACATAAGCCTAGTTTATGTAATGAAATTACCCAACTCTGCGGTGTATCTTGCATTAGAAAGAATTCACTTTTCACTTTTTAATTCAGCTCTTAATAAAGTAGCATTGAAGTAAATTTAAGAATTTAGTGTGTTTATCTTATGTTTAGAACAATTTCATGTTACAAAATCCTATTCAAACAACTTTCTTGAGATCCACACGGTAAATTTCTCGTATAAAATCCTAACTAATATTACAAATGCGAATGTGAGTTTGTTTCCATTTCACGTCGTAACTAGTCAACCGATCGTCATGAAATTTTGTGCACGCATTGCTAGGGGGTACAGAAAAAGACATGGAGTACGTTTTATCCAAAATAATATTGTTCCCGATGGACAGAAAAATTAGTTTTATCTAGTCGATTTCGCACCTTAACTACACAATCGATCATTTTGAAATTTTATAGACACATTGTCAGTTGTACAGAATAGGATATAAGGTACCCTTTATCAAAAAAAAATATTGTTCCCGAAGGATAGAAAAATTAGTTTTACGTGGTCGATTTCACGCCTTAACTATTCAATCGATCATCATGAAATTTTCTAGACGCATTGTCAGTTGTAGAAAAAAAGGATAAAGTACCTTCTATCCAGAAAAAGAAACTGTTCCCAAAGAATAGAAAACATAGTCTTAGGTATATATTTTTTTATTGTGTATATCCTCAAAATTGCTATTGCAGACATTTGATATTAATAATGAAATATTAAGAATTACAAGCACATATTCCTGCAAGGTTCTTTAGAAATAGAGTGATGGATACCAACGAAAGCTAATGGGGTAGTTGCTTATTATTCTCCTCGAATTTGAAATTTAGTATGACAGATAACTAATTTATGTGGGGTTATTATGTGACACATTTAATTGTTTGTTTAATCACCCCTGTACCCCTCACAATGTGTGACCAAAGATTCAGGATGATCGATTGAGTAGTTAAAGCGTGAAATGGTAATAAAAAACGAAACAAACAAAAAAATTCACATTAGGATGCTTTAGGGTCCTGATATTACTTATTTAGATAAATGCACAGTTAATTATTGGCGATCAATATATATGTGTATATATAAACAGAAGTATACATACCTTTTTTAATTCTTGTAAAAAGTTTTCTCCATCTCCTTCTTTTAGCTATATGTTTCTTTTGTTTCAGCGGATTATTTTTCCCACTGCAAAAAGAATGAGTCCGACTTTGACAATTGCGTCAAAGACGGACTCAATGGAGTTCGACACTTATTCAAAACAGGTAATGATTATTACTCAAAAAGATTTATGCTTTTGTACACGAAATAATTTATAGTTATTTAAGGGGTGCCGAAGTACAACATAGCCCCATTCGATCCATTTTTTGCATCCGAAGTCCCTCAGAAGGTGGGAGGTCGATTTTTCAACTACAAATTAATCCTGAAAAATGTTTTTGAATCTGGTTGGACAATTTCTCAAGTTACGAGATTCAGGTACATTTTCAAATATCTTTTATTCGCTTGATGTTGAGTTTTTGTCAGCGTTGGTCTCCTAAATTTATGTAATAGAAAAACTCAATTTATGAAATGTGATGTCGCTCAATTTTTTAGAATCAATCTAAACTAATGGCATGAAAATATTTTGCCCGTAGTTCAGTCCTCTACCACCTTGCCTTCCACAGTTTTCTTATATTTGGAAATTCCAGAAACTTACTCATTTTTTAGCCCAACATTGAGTTAATTAATAGTTGTGTTTACAAATTTATAACATTAATTTGTTATCTCAAAATTTAGTGTTGTGTTTGGAATTACCGTAAATTCATGTAAAAAATAATCTGAATCTATTTAGATGACCATGACTTAATTCCTCTGTTTTTGTTTAAAATATTCATAAAAAAATTGGTGTTATTTTTCCAGTACAGACGTTAACAAACAATTCCACTCGTTAAAGTAATAAAAAGTAAACATTAGCATAAAAGTAACCAAAATAAAAGAAAAATGCATAAATCTTTATAAACAAGTCATTATGTTAGTTACTGGTTTGGTTCCTCAAAACGGGGAAGTCCCATTGCTGACCGCGAAAATATTTTACTCGAAATAGTGACCGATCCTTGTATCTATTAATATTCGTGGTATTGCTACTAATTTGCTCAAATTTTCGATATACTTCATCATCATAAGGTCATCAGTCCTAAGACTGGTTGGACACACGCCTCCACTCCTTCCTATCCTGAGCTAATCTTCGCATTTCCATAAAACTGGATCATCCCACATCCTTAACTATTTGCGAACAGTAATCTAATCTAGTCTACCTCTACCCCTCCTAACTCCCGTTTCTGTCTCTAATATGTTTCTGATTAGACCTTCATGCCTGAGAAGGTGTCCTACTAACTTAACTCGCCTATTTCTTATTGACTTCCACAGAGTCCTCTGTTCTCTTATTCTTTCACATTTCGAACGCTTCTAACCTTTTTTTTTCGCACCTGTACAGCGCCGCGCTCCAAGCATACAACTTTATCAACCTTTTTCGAATTTCTAAATTAACCGTTCACGTTCGTAGAAGTGACTTCTTTTTATTGAAGGCGACTAGCCCTGCGCTAGCTTTTGCTTTATATCTCTACTACTCCTTCCGTCCTGACTTATCTGACTTCCTAAATACCTAAAATCAGTCATTTTCTTCTAATTTTTCGTCTCCTATTTTTATATTCGCTCTTTCCTCTCTTGCATACCAGTATTTTTTTTTACTTTTATTTATTTTCAATACAATACTGTTTTGTCAACATCTCTTCCATTTTATTTAAAGCTATCTCTAACTCCTCCTTGCTAGATGCTAATACTGCTATATCATCTTTAAATCTGACCATACTAATCTTATATATAGATATCAATATACTTATAGACAATAAAACTGTAAAATTCTGCACAGGCCGAATATCATCCAATTTTGTAATTTAATATTAAAATATTTCATTAATTATGCTTGTAGGAGCGACTTCAATAAAAATATGATTCAATACACTCAATTCTTCCCGGATAAAAAATTAAAGGGCGAGTACGATTTTGTTGCGACGATTTTTGGAAATACGTATGCAAATAAAGGACCGTGGAATTTGAGTTTGTATGACTTCGTACAAACGACAACGATTACAAGAAAACCAAGAATCGCCAGCAACGCCACCCTTGTCTACGATACACCCCTTAAGGCCAGCGTAGAGGTTCAAAGCTGTAAAAACATGGAATTACACATAGGGCACTTGTTACAGGGAAGAACGGTCATTGGTAAGCAACAACATCAAAAAGCTTTCTGGTAGTTCTATTTCATGTGATTTTGCAAAAATTATTATTAAATTTGTGTTCAAACGTGATGAAACATTTTCAAAATTAAGTAGCAAAAACAAAATTTTAAGATCCTTTTGTAATTGCCTCCATTTGGCACCAAGCAGCCGTAGCTGATGGCCAAATTCGAAACAATGGTGAGGATTCACCTTTAAATCCTGGATTTAATTAATATTAAAAGACAAACATCCCAAAACCAAAAAATTTTATTAAGTTATGTTCAGAACAAAAAGATCCTGGTGAAATTCATTGTATATAGGTGTATGGTTACGTATACGTTTATTAAGAACAAATGTTTAAAAAGAAGATTTGAAATATAGATATGTCACAGAATAAAAATAAAAGCTTAGGGATTTAAATAAAAAACAAGTTTTAGTATATCGCTGCCGCGTATAAAATTGCCTAAACTAATCGAACTCTCGAGTCGTTTGAACAAAGCGTAACACTCCCAAATGCTTTAAATCGCATTCCAAAAAAGGATGTCGCTCTTTGACGATTGCATGTAACAGAATATCCCTAAACATGTCCGGTACAGCAATGTATGTGTATTGCTCTACTGAAATATTTATCTTATTTTTAATTATGCGAATGTTACCTACTTATTATAATTATTATTATGTGACTTTATTATTGAAATTAATTTATTTATGTAAAACTAAAATTTGTACTGAATAATTAATGATTTAACTGAATAGAAATACTACGATTTACATTTAACGGATATCAAAAACATTATTTTGTGAAATAAATATGAATTGACACTATTTTTTAAAAGTCATCGATTTTTTTATCTAAATTAGCATATCGAACTTAAAAAATTCCTAATTTAAATGAAAAACAGCTATAAATCACCAAATTTTAATACCAATTGATTATTATAATTGCATTGTCATTCTTTTAGTAATAATTTTGTACTTGTCTGAACTTACGAAATTCCTAACTCACGTAAACAATATTAAAGAAAACGTCACAAATATTTTTGTTCCATTATTAATTTAGCAACCGTTATAATTTCTTTATAATTATTTTCGTTAGGCCTAATACAATTATATTGGCGCCTCCTTTGTAGGAAGCAAATAGTAATTAGTAGTTACCATGACACAAGCAAAATGCTTTACACCCCGAGTAAAAATAAAAACATTTATAACACTACCGAATCGCCTCCAAATATCTAAAATGACTTAAATTACCACCGAAATAGTTCCTACAAATTAGACGAAAATTTAAATTCTAAAACTGTAGCCAAAATACTACCTTTTCAAAAATTAATACCAATTTATCCATAAGATATTTAAATTATTATTGTTTATAACATCATTATTAATTTCTAATTGTTTAAAAAAGAAAATAGTGTCTTAACTTTTTATTAAAATCTATGTTATATTAATTAAAATATATTAATTACAATATATACAGTATATACATTCAAATTTTAGTATCCCTTTAGCGCTGTTTCGGCGCTTTTTGGTATAAATGCGTTGCTCTTGCGGTGGTATTTCAACCCAATCCTACACTACCCCCCTTCAGGGGGTGTCTTTTGAAGATTTCCCCTTCTCGAGGATAAACTAAACAAAACAAAAAGGTGGTATTTCAGTAGCTTTCCGGAATGCAGTCGTTGCTGTATCCTGTGTTCTTTTCGTACTAAATATGCGGTACTGTTTCAGTACTCCATTCGTACACAATCGGCGGTTTAGGCCTGCACACAGACCTTTATGGAGCTAGTTTGATCGTAATTCGGTAAAGTGAAATTGAAAAGACTAATTTTTACTCGGGACCGTAGGGTTCATTTCGGAGAGTTTTTCCTTTAATCACGCTCTTTTTTTTTCAGAAAATCTTGCGGATCGTATTATTAATACAGCTTGGCAACCAGGTTTTGTGGTTTTAAAACCAATTATTAACGACTTGGTTAGCACCGCATTCACAGAAATATTTAATAAGAACTTCAGGTACTTCCCATTCCATGAATTGTTCCCGTAAAACCCCTGCTATAGGCATTCAATGTGAATAATTACTTACATTATTGGAAACCATAATTTTTGAATCTAAGTCATTTGTTGTAAATTTTAATTAAGGATTTATTTACAATATGTATTGTTTATAATAAATGTGTACATATTAATTTTATTTCGGATTCGCGTTATTAATCGTGTAGCAATAAACTACAAACCCCCAAAATGCAAAAAAAACAATTAACATATTTGAAAAGCCTTTATTTCATTTATTTATTTAGTCAGAACTCACGGAAAAACATAAAATATCATGAATTATCAAGTATTAAAAGATGATTAAACCTAAAACGAAACATTGTATAAGTAAATTTGTAGTTATTACTTTAATAAATTATTTATTTTACTGCAATGCGACTATATCTATCTTTCTCTTTTATAAATGATTTTTTTTTTAATCCTCAAACTTCATTTAGAAATATTTGTGGGGGGGCAGCACCTCTTGGGTCACTTTTTAATGTAATAAAATGATAAAAACAAATTCATAAGCGTAGAGAGGATTTTTACTAATTGTTAGTGTAACCAAAAAAAACAATAACTAAAAGACTGCGTATACTTTGTATATATAAAAAACTGTAATAAATGGTTTAATATATATTACAAAACCTACAATGTTTTACTATACTCAACATATCGTGAATTTTCGTCTTAATTGTTATACAATCGCTCTTAACTATTTATTTCCAAAAAAAATGGAAAAAAGTGCAATGAAATTCCTCAGAAGATATAAACTATTCCTTTTTTACAAATTACAGCACGTTTAGGGGCCTAAATTATTATCTACATTTGTATTAAATGATAATCAATAATATACTCTTTCAACTTTATTTATTTATATGATTTATTTTATTTCCATTTTATTAATTTTCTACCTTTTTACATATCTAGATCACAATTCATAAGTTATTAACCTAATAAATCCTATTACCTCATTAAGCCGAATTGATTTTTCTCACCAATTATTTTAACTAGCCCTAATTGTGCTTCTTCACGAGTTGCTAATGTTTTGTGGTGGCGCCAAATAGCTCCCGTGGAAAGTAGTAAGAAGCAACACTTTCTAGACGATCTTCTAATTATCATTAATTACGCTTACAAGAAACCATAGGCGGGGATAAATGGAAACCGTAAAGAAAATGTAATATTTAAAAAGGAAAACAAAAAACATTCAAAGAACAAATTACTCATTTAGTAGAATGAATTTTTGAAAATCCATTTATTATAATCGAACAGGAGAGATTGCAATATTACTTATTAAATTTTCATATTGGAGAGGTATCTTAAAAAGAATGTCCTTTTTCAAAAGAACAAGAAAATAGTTGAATAAATAGCACATAAATGTAGGCATATCGTCTGTTTATCATAGACACATAAAAGTACCAAAAGTAAATAACTGTACATTCCTATTAATTAACAACATTCCTCATTGCATAATTAATGTAATATTGATACAAGTTTTTGTTTTTAAAATTGTTTTTAGTACTTCACTTAGTGTTGAGTGCTCTTCAAGACTTATGTCGTTATAATAGTATAATTTTGTTATGACTTTATGTTTTGTGAAACAAAAACCCCGCGAACTAATATAGACTTAATTTCATATATAATTTTTGTGTGTATAAAAAAATCCCACAGTAAAGTAATTATTCATACGCCACTGCTTGTTCGAAATTATGTTTACAAGTTTGATTAAGGTTTATTACTTTTATTTAGGCTTCAATAAATCAGATTACACTGCCGAACGATGGGTTGCCTAGCCAATTTTACGATTTAATTAATTTTCCTTTTCTGAATAATTGGTTGCCTATGACAAACTCCTAAAATTGAATTTAATGTACTAAATAATTGAATTTATTTAAAAAATGAAAACATGACAGCATTCATTTTAATATTTATTTTTAATAAATATAATTGTTATTCGTACAGCAATNGAATCTGATATCAGGTTATTCCTTGCAGATTCGATGTTAAAAGTTTCTTTTGTAAAAAAATAGTTTTCATCTAGCAGAAATGTATTGATAATTAATACAGTTTGTCAAACAGAAATACTGATTAAATTAATCATAAAGTAATGATTTTTATGAACTATTTTTTGTAAAATGGAAAATTTTTAATAGCTTCCTAAAAATATGTAAACCTAATTTGCTTATTATGAAACACCAACAACAAACTGAGTTGTTACTGACCTTACTTCAGAATAATCAAAATGAGACTTTACTTTGCAACTGATAAAAAAAAATTTAAACAACAGGTATGACGTATTTTTCGCTATAAACATACATTAAGTAATAAGTAGGTCAACATTTTCACCATTTTTGCTTTTAATATCAAACAGTAGATTTTTTAAAAAGGATTATTTAGGTACCTACGTAATTGTAATAGAAAAAGAGATATTAAAACCCATTAGTACACAAATGTGTATTATTCATTCATTAACTTCCTAATATGATATACAAAAAAAAGCTTTTGAATCTTAATTTAAATTTAATTAATACGTTGACGTATGTAAAAAGAATAAATATGTGTCGTGGTTTTCCCTAAAACTATCTGTTTTTCCATTAATTCTGGTGAATGATACCTCTTTCATTCAAATAGTGCTGAATTGATTTTCTTCTTTTTTTTATTGTTTTATTATTTCGTAGTATTACGTTACAATCAATAATGTTTGTATTCGTTTTATTTTACATTAAAATTAAATGAGTTATGGTAGCTGAATCCTTACAATCACAGAATAGTATTGTGTTTTATAATTAGTTTTGTTTTTGATTCAATCATTCGAGATGATCCGAAGATTATTACATTTAGGGATAAGAAGTCTCGAAAAAAAACTCATTTGCCAGACCCGAAAATGGAAAATGCGAAGATTACTCAGGTTCGGAAAGATTGCAGATGCGTGTTCAACCGGTCTTAGGTTTGAATCCTATGATGATGAACCAGGTCCGTAACCAGGAATGTTTTTCAGTGGAAGGAACTTGGTAATCAAAAAGTAAATAGAATCTTACAAAAACATTAGACAATTTAATTATTATATTTGTTAAAAACACAAGGAGGATCAAAAATAATATTACAGGGGTGATACATATACAGGGTGGTATTAATATAAACATTTGATATATACGGAAAAATTTCAAGTTTCTGGGTTATTTTAAAAATATTTTGTACATATATAATTTCTGAAAAGCATTTTTGATTCGAAAATACAAGGTGATAAATATTTTTCAACAAAACCATTTTGATATTTTTAAAATTATTAATTCAGCAGAAAAAGTGTATAGTGCACTTTTAGGATTTATCGAGTACAAAAAATTTATCTTTCGGACCACTAAGAACTAGAATACTAGAGAAATACAATGTGGTTTCAATAAATTCGGTAATTAATAATAAGATTGAATGCATGCATCCTACAACTGGTGGTAGTCATTTTCAACAGTTCTTTTAGATTAAGAAGCTTCAGATGTAATATTTAGATTAGATAATAAAACATTGTTATTATCGAAAAACATTTAACGCCCTATGTGTCTTCGTAATATAGTCTTAAAATAACACTGGTAAACCTGTTGAAGTTATGCTGTATATTTAGTAGACACCCTGTATATCAATAAAAATACAGATCTGGACTCAAACGACTTCAAAAAAATATGTTTATTCATGTATATTTATTACAAATTAGGTCTGTCGTTAGCACGCGTACGTTGGGATTTTTATTTCTGAAATAGCCCTCGTATAATTATTCAGTGTTCGATCGGTTTATCGTTAGTTAGTTGCTTTTGTATATTCGTATGTTCGAGGCCCTGAAACCTAAACGTAAATAGCACTCATTCATAAAACCACTTCCGGCTTAATTTCCTCTTCTTAGTTCTCAGTTCTCTACTTTCAGAATATTCATATATCATTCAATGCTGAAAGAGTTGATTTTGCATTCTTAAGTTAAGTGTTGTTAGCTTCTTGATAATTTAAAAAAAATACCGAATAGTTTAGATTAATTAACAATGATAAATACATACATACATTTTTGCCTCATAGTCGCCCGCAATTGGGATTGCAATCCAATTAATTATTTAGAAAATCAAGTCATTTACTATTTCAACGAACTTATTTAAAAATTTACGTCATTTAAAACAAACAGATCGAAAATAAGGGAACGACGATATTTTTGGAACATTTTGTAGTTGTGTGCTTAGTTGTAAATCTTATCTAATCTGAGTAAGTCTGGACCTATCTAGAAGTACTGAATTTTGAAAAAACACGGCTAAATAGAGGACTCATTCTACTTTTATGAAATATTTTCCCAATTGTTTATTAACTATCGTATTTTACTATTATAGAATACAGTAGAATCCGCTTATAATGACGAACACGTCATACTAAACGGGCGTCATACAAAGCATAGTCTTACAAAATAAACAACTTTCTATTTTAATTAGTTATTTAGTTTAATAGAGAGAAAAACTACAAGTTATATACATTTATTAACAAAAAAAGGAAAAGAACGATTAATTGTGATATCAATATACATAAGAAGGGTCAGAAAAATGAGCGAAAATGTTATTATTAATCATTTGGGTCATTCATATGTCATTTTAAACGGAGTCATTATATCCAAACTTTCTAATAGAGAATTTGATATAAAAACATTCATAGTAAGCGGTTAATTAATATAGGCGGAGTCATAATAAACGAATTCCACTATATATCATTTGCATTGAAATATTTTTTTTTGTTGAGGGTCAATTTGCTTTTACTAGTATTGTAAACAGCACCTACACATATCAAATAGCATCATCTCTAGATTTTACCATATCCCCAAGAATTGTTTATGGATTCTCCTAATATTTGTGTAAATAGTACAATTAAAAAAAACTACACAAAATTAAAAATTTCCACAAATTAAATTTCCGAATGAAACAAAAATAGCAAAAGATCAACATATTCAAGAGTTTGGTTTTTCCCCTATATAGAAGCACTAACTATTACGCCCTAAATCTTTTTAAAAACTTTTTACTCCCTTTGAACACTATTTAGATAATCAATACTTGTCTGTAATTCATCAGTCATCATTCATCAATATAAATACAATCGTGTTGTCTTCATACAATGATAACAACAAAATTAATGTAGG